TATTTTAGTCGTATTAATAACCCTGTAGTGTTATCGTACTATGGCTTCATTTTGGATTTCTCCCATCCAAGTACTAACCAGGCCCGACACTGCTTAGCTTCCGAGATCAGATGAGATCTGGTGTGTTCGGGGTGGTATGGCCGTAGACTTCATTTTGGATTCCTCTAATGATTAATGATATTGAGCATCTTTATAGGTGTTTATTTGCCTACAATATATATATATTTTTGTGACATGTCTATTCGAATCCTTTGCCCATTTTTTTAGGTTGTTTATTTTCCTCTTACTGAGTTGTGACAGACCTTTATCTATTCTGGAAACTGATCCTATATCAGATACATGGTTCAAAAATATCTTCACCAATGCCTTAGCTTTGACTTTTCATTTTCTTAAATGTCTTTTTGAAGAGCAAAAGTTTTTAATGTTGATAAAGTTCAATTTTTCAATTTTTCTTTTATGGTTCATGGTTTTGGTGTCTTCAAAAATCTTTGCCAAACTCAAAATTGCCAAAAACTCTCTCCTGTGTTTCCTTCTATAAGTTTTATAATTTTACATTTTACATTTATGTCTATGATCAATTTCAAGTTAATTTTTGTAGGAGGTAAAAGGTATGTGCTATGGACTGAATTGTGTGCTGCTCCCATTCACATGTTGAAGCCGGAACCCTCATTGTGACTGTATAAGGCTGAGAAGGAGGCAATTAGGTGAAATGAGGTCAGAAGGGTGGGACCCTGACCCCAAGAGTTAGTGTCCTTATGAGAAGAGACACCAGAAAATTCGTTCACTCTCTGTATGCACTCAGGGAAAGACCATGTGAGCACACAGTGAGAAGATGACCACCCTACAAACCAGGAGAAGAGGCCCAGGAATGAAACTTACATTCCTGGCACCTTGATTTGGACTTTCAGCCTCCAGACTGTGAGAAATAAATTTCTGTGTTTAAGCCACTCAGTTGTGGTTCTTTGTTATTGGCAGCTGAAGCAGACTAAGACACTAAATGTCAAGATTTCTCCCTTTTTTGGATAGTTGTCTAAATTTTTCAAGTACCATTTGTTGAAAAAATTATCTTTTCTTCATTAATTGCCTTTACAACTTCATCAAAAATCCATTGGCAATGTAAGTACGAGTCTCTATTGTGTTCCACTGACCCATGTCTCTGTCCTGTCACCAAAACGATACCCCTCAATTGACATGCTTTATAGAAAGTCTTTGATTCAGATAGAGTAAGTTTTCTTTGTACTCTTTTCAAAATTGTTTGTTATTCAAGTTCTTTTGCTTTTCTAGATACATTTTAGAATTAATTTCTACATTTCTACCTAAAAACATGTTGGGATTTTGATTGCGTGGACATTTATTCTATTGATGAATGTGGGAAGAACTGACATCATGACAATATGGAATCTTCCAATGCATGAAGATGATGCAGTGCTTAATTTTTAGATCTTCTTTGCTTCTTTCAATGTTTTGAAATTTGCAACATACAGATCTCACATATATACTTTTTAGAGTTATCCAACAAGAAAGAAGTACTTCATGTTTTGGTGTGATTTTAATGGAACTTTTTCCCATTTCAATTGTTAATTGCTAATATATAGAAATACATTTGCTTCTTGCACACTGACCTTGTATCCTCTGACCTTGCTCTATACTTGTGGATGGTTTTAGTTACTTTTTTTAATGGCTTAAAACAACAGAAATTTATTATCTCAGTTCTCGAGGCCAGAAGCTCAAAATCAAGGTGTCAGCATGACCGTGCCTCCTACAAATGTTCTAGTGAAGAATTATTCCTTGCCCGTTTCTAGATTTTGG